ATCAAATGGGCAATGTTAGGCACAGAACTGGACTTGATCCCAGACAGTTCTTTTCCTAGGATTTTTTTTTTTTTTCAGGAGCCCAATACTTAGCACTCTTCTGATTCCTTGTAGAACTCCTTGGGCAAGTGGTGCATAGGCCTTGCTTCACCTCCAGGAGCTCTTAAGGCTCTAAAGGACTAGTACTAGGGGTGAAGGGGCACCCCCAAGCCCACACACAGTACCTGCAGTCTGCAGGTCTTGAGTGAAGATATAAAGCTTGATGGCAGATGTGTCTTTATGTCCTATTTCTTTTTATTTATGTTTTTTAAAAAAATGTATGAATGCTCTGTCTGCCTATATGCCTGCATGCCAGAAGAGGGCATCAGATCCCATTATAGATGGTTGTAAGCCACCATGTGGTTGCTGAGAATTAAACTCAGGACCTCTGGAAGAGCAGTCAGTGCTCTTCACTGCCTAGCCATCTCTCCAGCCTCCATATTTTTTGCTCATATTGTCCTCAAAACCCAACTCTGCTCTTAGTAGGTAAGAATACAGTTACCTCCAGGGTTGTATGTGACAAGGTAGACTTTCTTAATTCTCTGTTGGGTTCCACAGCCTGCCTGCACCCCTGATCCTCAGCTCTCTTCCTGTCAACTGGTCTCCCTAGACATGGTAGATCTCCATTCCCTGGTTCTAACAATCTAGGTTAGGTGCAAATGGAGCTAGGCACTGGGTTCTAGCCGCCAGCATTCCTTACCCTCCTCCCTGACCGCACACTCGCAGTCACTCTGGGTGAGCAGAACCTTTGCTTGTTTGATATTTTTAAACATTTACTTATGTACCCATGTGTATGTGTGTTCTTGGGTGTGTGCACATGTGTGTCAGTTATGGTGTGTATGTGGTAGTTGGAGGAAAGCTTATGAGAGTCAGCATCATGGGGATCTTGGTGATAGAAGTTTGGTCACCTGTATCTGCTGAACCATCTCACCGGCTCCTGAACCATGCAGTGGTATGTGTGTGTGTGTGTGTGTGTGTGTGTGTGTGTGTGTGTGTGTGTGTGTGTTATATAAATGTCCTATTTTCAGCTAAGCACTCCATTATCACTTCTCAACACTTTGACCATATATGGATGTCTCCATTAACTGCTGTCTACTACAAACAGAAGTTTCTCTGACCAAGGCAGAGAACACTAATCTATGGGTATAAATAAAAATATAGATTTATTTTATTTTATTTTATTTTACAATACTATTCAGTTCTACATAACAGCCACAGATTCCCTTGTTCTCTCCCTTCCTGCCCCCCCCCCCCTTCCCCCCCCCCCCTAACAGCCACAGATTCCCTTGTTCTCTCCCTTCCTGCCCCCCTCCCCTTCCCCCCAGCCCACCCCCCATTCCCACCGCCTCCAGATCAAGGTCTCCCCCAAGGACTGAGATTGACCTGATAGACTCAGTCCAGGCAGGTCCAGTCCCCTCCTCCCAGATTGAGCCAAGCATCCCTGCATAAGTCCCAGGTTTCAAACAGCTAACTCATGCAATGAGCCCAGGACCTGGTACCACTGCCTAGATGCCTCCCAAACAGATCAAGCCAAATGACTGTCTCACCTATTCAGAGGGCCTGATCCAGTTGGGGGCCCCTCAGTCATAGTTCATGTGTTTCCATTCGTTTGGCTATTTGTCCCTGTGCTTTATCCAACCTTGGTTTCAACAATTCTCACTCATATAAACCCTCCTCTTTCTCACTTATTAGACTCCCAGCGCTCCAGCTGAAAATATATTTAGGAGGCAGTATGATACCATGTCCCTTTAGTAAACCAGTAGTAGCAGTTTTCATCCCCCACCCAGCGTCTATGACCACCCCAGCTCCAGACCTTTGTCCAGATGTACAGTACCAGGCATGAACTCCATCCTGTGCAGTGAGCCTCAAATCCCTTCAGAAAGTTGTTACCTCCATAAGAGTCATGTGCTGTAGTGGGCATTTTGAGAAAGCTGGTATTCTCCTTATTGACAGCTCTTCTTCCTTGGCATTCTGTATAGCACCTCCTGACACTATAGAAACTGGCCAGCAGGAAGGAAGCTTCCAGCTCAGTCCCCGCTTGATGTCTCTATGTTTTATAGTCAAAGTATATGGTTTCTGCAACAGGGTATTACCATCTAGTTCTGATGGGCAGCCAAGAGCATTGACAGTAGCCTACCTTGTTTTGAGGTCTCCCCGACCCACAACTTATAAGGTAGTATCCTACACCTAGCCCTGAGGTTTTCATTTAACAACCTATAGCTTTTGGGAGCAGTGATCCCCACCCACGCAGGGTACCATTCTTCAAACTTTTAAAAATTATATATTTTTTATTATCTTATCAAAGAGAAGGTCTGTTAGGGTTTTACTGCACAAGAGTACCTCGTCAGATCAGGGTGAAGGGATGCCACAAAGTCACACCATGTAACAGACCCTCACGTAAGAGATTTATCGGGTTGGGGGTATACAAAGGCGGGCTCTGATGGAGGATGGGGGAAAGAGGGAACAGGCTATGAAAGCACTGGTTTTATAAAGGGAATAATGCATGCACATGGGGAGAATATGTGACTCGCCGTGACAGTAGAAATGTGTCAGATTTGAAGGCCAGTGATGACATGGCTGTTGGCAGTGAGTTACTGAAGGTGGCCTTGGGGGGGGGTTGTTCCCAACATTTGTCCCTCTTGTTTATTATAAAAGGTGAGAAAATAGGAAGGTGTGCCTGGTAAGGCAGAAATGGGAGTGCTGTGCTCTTTAGACAGCTTCCTGTTGTCTAGGGGTGTTGACATCTTCAGGGCCCTGCTGATCTTCACCATCAGGACATATTCTGTAAGTCCTGAGGCTCCAGCTCTGTGGCTAAGGGTTGGTAGCCCTGTAACAATAACTGATTGTTTGATTAGAGATTTTTTTTTAATTTGTTGGAGAAACATAGAGAAGAAATTGATAAAGTTAGGGTGCAATTAGTAAAAGCGGGAAAACACAAAGCGGGGGTCAGGAAGGGAAAGATCCACTTCCACACTTGATCTGAGCCAAAAGGCCGAGAAGAGATTGGAAATATCCACTTCCATGTGGGGTTCTCAAAGGCCCTGAGTCTGGAAGCATCGAGATGTTTCTTATGTTTTTTAGAAGTCTGTTTGAGTTGTTGGATTTTCTTTTTTACTGTACCCAATTGGTTGACACAGAAGCAGCATTCCTCTTGGAGGAAGAGGCAAAGGCCACTGCCCCCCCCCCCCCCAGCTCTTAGAAGATCTAGTCCCTAGCACTTTTGGAGTAGCACCACTGCCAAAGAGTCAATTTATCCTTGAAAGGTAACTACAACTTGGGCCACCTGTTGGAAGTCCTGAATGAACTAGGAAGAAAATCGATGAAACAAGGTCAGAGGGGTGGTCACTTCAGCTTTCCTGGTGACAGCACCACAGTTATTCCTGGGATGGCCAGAAGGAGCAATATTTGATCCACCCTTTTATTATATCAGGTAGCTATTGAGTTCACAACTGGAATTGGTAGGACCCCCGGCTTATTGAATTTTTCTTACTGTTTTTTTTTCTTTCATATTTTTTCTGTTTTCTTATTAAATGTTTTTTTTTAGCCTATCAGCTTTCTTTGTGTTTAAAAAGTGTTAATATTAAACAAATAGGGGCTGGAGATATGGCTCAGTGGTTAAGAGCACTGGCTGCTCTTCTAGAGGACCTGGGTCCAATTCCCAGCACCCACATGGCAGCTCACAATGGTCTGTAACTCCAGTTCCAGGGAATCTGGCACCCTCACACAGACATACATGCAGGCAAAATGCATGTAAAAAAACAAAAACAAAAACAAAAACAAAAACACCCAACCAACCAATACAAAACAGCACACCAACAAAACAAACAAAAGCCAGGCAGTGCTAGTGCACACCTGGCACTTGGGAGGCAGAGGCAGGTGGATCTCTGTGAGTTCAAGGCCAGCCTGGTCTACAGAGAGTTCCAGGATAACCAGGGCTACACAGTGAAACCCCGTCTTGAAAAACCAAGAAAAAAAATTTACATAAATAGAACACAAAATCTGGACAGGTGCTGTTCTATGTATTTTATATGTATCCATTTACTTAACAGTACTTCATAAAATAATTAACCTCATTTTATACACTATTAAACTCAGTCCATAAAGATGTAACAACTAAACTCATGCAGAACTAATAAGGTTTGGAGCCAGAATGCATGCTATAAAGCCTCCTGTTTCTACACTAGCCTCCTTATTAGCCATAGGAAGTTTGATCTAAGTTTACACTCTAATCGTTTGCTCCTGAAAGCAATTGCTTCCATAGCTGTTAGTTGGCTCACTGTAAGGGGTACAGGAAGTCACATGCTGGACTGTGGTTTAAGTTAATTGCCTCTGTTTAATTCCACCCATATTTATTTCTGCTTATGAAAAGGGACCAGATGGCATTACCCATCTGTTGTACATCCTTCAGGTGAGGGTCATTTTTTCTACACGAACAACTCGTTTTCAAACTGCATTTAATTTGCAAAACAAAACAAGAAAAACCTCCAGTCTTTTCAGACTTAAAACACACACATGCATGCGGTCAGAAAATGGAGATTTTTAACTTTTACCCCTTACTGGAGAGATGGCTTAGATGTTAAGAGCACTGGCTGCTCTTCTAGAATACCTGAGCTCCAGTCTCAGAATAAGTAACTGGAGTTCCAGGGGATCTGATGCCCTCTTCTGGACCTCATAGGCACTGCATGCACATGGTGCACAGATACACATGCAAGCAAAACACCCATACACAAACTATTTACCATTTAATTTCTATACATTCACTTGTGTTTGAATTCCCCTAATCTCATTTGTCACTGAATGTTTGAGAACCTTGTGGGAAGGTAGGAAAAACAAATTTAATGTGCTTTGGTGACCCCTCAGTATGCTTTTACCAGTCTCATATTTGTGAAACTAACTTTTCTCACAGATTAAACTCTTAAGTCACATTCATAATGCAAAACAGATTTATTTTTACCCAGACAATGAGCATTAGGAAAATGGAAAGGAAAGCAGTCTTCAGCAATATGAAGCAATGAAGGTTCTCAAATCACTGACTTTGTGATCCCCAACTTGCTTCTTTACCCTTCGAGGTTAAATCCCTGCACCTGATGAGGTAGACGGCTTTTCAAGCCGTGGTTTCTTTTGTTCCTTCGGTTTTGCTCCTTCCAGAGAAGTATGTTGATTTTTCAGATACTGTTCATTTGTACTCTGTGTGTTGAGAAATGGTTTCACAAGCTTTTCGAGCTACAGACAGAAACAGGGAAGGACAATTCATTATGGACCACATCTCCACGGTGAGACAATTTATCCAAACTGTAGCCTGTGAACCACAATCCAAAGCACAGCAGATATGCAGAATCTCAAGTTTTACCACAAATCTAAATCACTGCTTAGAGTACTGAGAAGGACCAGGAGATTCATATGCAGATTGAAGGACCAAAAGAATTGGTCAATGACATTCCAAACCTCCAGGTAAACACAGGCACCTGAAGGCAGGAGCGCCAGAGTATTTCATCAGGGACACAGACCATTCTAAGGAATGAGGTTCTACCTTCATGCTTTTCAGTCCCCTTTACTTCAATCACATGGAGACTTCGACTAGATACCCAGAGCTCCTTTTCAAAGACTTAGCTCTAAGTGTTCAGGCCTAAAATCCAGCTATTTACATCTCAGCAGAGCCCCTCAGTGAGCACATTCTCTAGCTGGGGTGGAGAACTTTTGTGCTATGGAGTTTTTTGGTTTTTTTTCCATTTTGACTTCCTAAGATGCTAGGCGCTTGGGGAGTGAGTTCTACTTTAAGGAAGCGTGTTCATCAACAGTCAGGAAGATTTAATCAAGACTACAGTCCAATCACATCTCAAATGGTGCCTCCCAGAGGGCAGCAGCATTCCTTGGAACTTACTTCGAAAGCAAATCAGAGACCCTCAGCAAAGCTTATCAAACAAACTAAACTGGGAGTGGATGCCAGCAGCTTTTGGTAGTGAGCTCTCCAAAGTTTTTCTGGAGATCAATGAGCTTAGGTATTTCTGAGTGACTTTTACAAGCTGGCACCAGACCATTATTTTGTATAATTGTCCAGAGCACATCATTTCTGAGAAGTCTATGCTACAATGCATTGCACTCTTTCTTATTAAGATCTCTTAATCTTTCATGCCCCAGTTACCCTTAGCAGTTAAGTTTCTGCCTTCTTTGGTGATGGACATGCATATAAGGCAAATTGGTAGCCCAAAGTGAAAAATGACATTGTGAGAATCAATGAACTACTTACATCAGTTTCACGATGTCTAGTAGCTAGATTCTTTAGCTCTTTCAGGTTCTGTGTTAATGTTTTTTCCAGCTCCTGGGCTAATGTTATGGCTTGTATAGGAGTGGTTATTTCATTCATATTAGGCTTCTGTTGGAGAGGAACAGAACTGTTAATTTCCTTCCTCAGGACAGTGTTACATTCTTCTTTACATATAATGAGGAGACTTGCACAGTCCAATAGTTTCCACAATCTGAGGTGCCTTGGAATCAGATGATGGCTCACTTCCAAACACTGATTTCATTGATGGAATATGTAAAGTGAGTTTGAGGATCATAGATTTTACCTGCAGAGATAATTAAGATAATCAAGGACATTGAGAGTAAATGGCCCAGGTATAGATTTTATTTATTTATTTATTTATTTATTTATTTATTTATTTATTTATTTATTTATTTATTTATTTATTTATTTATTTATTTATTGGGTTTTTTTTTTTTTTTCCGAGACAGGTTTTCTCTGTGTAGCTTTGCACCTTTCCTGGAACTCACTTGGTAGCCCAGGCTGGCCTCGAACTCACAGAGATC